ATTGGTTTAAACTATTCTTATAGATAAGTTTTAAAATATAAGTTCTATAAAACTGATTAAAAATAAAAAAATAAATTTTAATCCTATGCTCTGCTGAACATTTTATTATTTTATTTATATTTTGTTATTTTATTATATTTTGTTATTTTGTTTGATTAGTTTATTTTTGTTTAGTTTAGTATCTTTTATTTTATATATATTAACTTTTAGCATTATTATATTGCTGTTTATTATTTTTATTTATTGTGCATAGTATGAATGAACTACTCTTTATCACTATTACTATTGTCCTTGAATGTGACAGATTATAATGTATCTCAATAAAGAAATTTCCTAAAAAAAAAAAAAAAAAAGATGACAGTTTTAAGGTTCTGATGTATTTCTTAGTCCTGATGATGTACCACATGATTGGGTCGACACTTCCTCAAACTTGATAAAGATAATTATTGACTGCACATCCTTTATTTTTCATTCTTAAAAGAAATTAAGGCTACAACCTTTGACATATATCTTACCATGATAAGCAGTCCATTCCTAAACAATATTTAGACAGTGATAGAATTTATGGTAGAGGTGTTGGGGAAGGAGAAAGGGTGTTGGAAGGGCCTAATCGGAACGAATTACTCTGCACTTTTCCGTTCCCTCCCCTCTCCCCCTCCGAAATCAACGCCCCTTTTTCACCTGTCCCTTTTAATTGTCTCTTTTCCGTCTCGCGAGAGTTCGGAAGATCAACATTAATTTTAATCAGCTGTAACACTAAACTGTTAAATTAAATGGAAATTATAATTTATATCGTGGGTTGGAAGAGAATTAAACTTAATTATATTTGAATTCAATACTATCTTAGCCTTATGATAGTGGTATTAATAAAAGAAACAATAATCAAAGGATGTCATTTGGAAATGGTTATGAATATAGTGATAGTAAGCAAACTGTTAACAACTGCTGGAACATGGAATCTATTGATACCGGAATGAAAAGATGGCCGTGATAGTATTTTGGAAACGAGAAAATGGTAGCTCATTAAATTAGTAAACTTACTTCCCCAAAAACAAGTTACGAAGTATGAAAAATTAGATTTGCGAATAACTCAAAAAGTGTTCACCTTTTTGTGATTTTTACAATCAAGTATTTCAAAAGTATTAAAATTTCCTAAAAAAGAAAATAGTCACATATTAATTACAGTATTATTAGTAAATATATAGCGGTTTTTTTTTTTTTTTGTTTTTTTTTTGGTGTTTTTTTCGTAGTCCCTTTCTGTTTATTTTTGTCGTTAATCCTCGGATTGTCTTAATAATAGTCCTTTTACTGCTTAAAAGCATTGTAAGGTTTATTTTTAGATTTTTGTCGTTTCTAAGTATTTCGTTCTTCATCTGCCATATAAAGGTGATGGGGCTCACCTTAGGCTTGAGTTGACCTTATCCTCTAAAGCTTACAACTAAATTAATAAAACATCTATCTCATGTAATTTGTTGCCAACGTTTTGGAATTTTGGCTGTTAATAAATTGTTTAAATAAATTTGTTTTAGCGGTTTAAACATTTTTTTGTTTATTATTTTCACTAATGAATATTTGTAACGAGTATGAATAAGAATCTTGAAGCTAAAAATTTGAGGTCTTACGTTTCATATGTAATATGTATCAGAATCCAAAGATCAAATACAAAAAACTCCATCCGTCCGGCATAGACATCGTGCAAAACTGTTTTAACGATTTTAATGAAACTTCATTCTCCTTGGAGCTCTCTAAATTTATCTATTTAACAAACTTCTCCGAAAAGAAACAGTAAAAAAATGTATGAATGTAGTAATTTATTCCTGAATTGCTCAAAAAAATAGGCACTTTTTTAAGCAGTTAAATCACATAAAATATAAATTTTAAAACATCATCTAAATCGAACTATTTGGTACAGAGATATGGCGTTTTGAAATTATATCATGCGTTCTAGTACTAAGACGAACATTTGTTTTGGTTTTTGATAACTCAAAAGTTTATATCTACGAAAGATAATCAAATAACAAACTCGGGTGCTTCCGTAGCTGTAAAGTTTAATTAACTTTGTCTTTATATTTTTTAATAGAAAATGAAAGCAAACCAACAGTTTCGATATTTAATTTTAACCGGAAGTCATGGAAAAAGTAGTGTGACACCCCACACAAATTATTATTATTATTTCACTGCACTGCAACCCGGTTACAGGCCTCCTCCAGCCATTCCCTCAAATCGTCATGGTCATGCAACGACGCCATCCAGTTCCTAACTCACAACATGCAGAGGGCATCTTCTGCCAACGCGATTCGACCATCTCATCCTTGGTTTTTCTCTTCTCCTTGTTCCATAGATTGGCTGTGTTAGCAACATTTTGGGCATTTCTCCATCCGCCATTCTCATATGCCCTTCATATCTTAAACGCCTCAACTTCATTGCTTTCACAACGTCAGCTTCTCTCAAAGCGTTATACATCTCCGTACTGTTCGTGCGCCGCTTCCACTCCTTTCCAAATTTCACTCCCCCAAAAACAGGACGGAGAACTTTTCTTTCAAAAATAAGGATTTCTTTTTCAGTGGCCTACGAAGTTGTCCAGCGCTCCGATGTCTTGTAGTACGGGACGCACTAATGTCTTGCAAAGATGGAGCTTCTTCTATTTGGAAAGTATCCATTTGGTTAGCTGCTTGCTCAATCCAAAGCTATGATCCTTCTTCTTATCTCAATATTGAGGTTATTATCCCAGACAAGTGAACTCCGAAACCTTTTCAAAGTTATGAGGCCCAGTAGTGACAGTCTCAGCTGGCTTGGGAATTTCTTCTGTTACCATATATTTTTTTTTGGACTCCAAGTGTGATAGCATGACCCATCAGTGCCATAAAAGCATCAGTCATGGCCTGCAGGGGGCGTCCCACAATGTCTATATCATCTGCAAAGGCCACGCAAATTAGATTCATAAATATTTGGAAATTACAAACCATTTTGTGCAAATTTTCAGCTTTTTATTTATTACAGGAAGCAATATATAAATAGGTGTACATCATGTAAAAAATCTTCACCTCTTTACGATTCTTCGCGATTGATACTAAGCAGGATTTGGTTTGTCACAACATTTACAATACATGGGAAACTTTTTTTAACGGATTTATTAAAATTTACAACTGTATTGTATGAAAAATACAACTAGTAAATTTGAAGTTGGAAATATATGTACAACATGAAGAGAAACCACCCATTAGTAGCTCCAAAATTATAAAATCTATATTAGAAGGTCACGAGGCCATCTTCTTTTCAGATGCTTCGGTTGATTATTAAGAATAGAAGAGGAAGCAAGATTAGAAATAAGGGGGCCCGAACGGTTCAGAAATTAATTATGGAAGATTAAACAAACTCGGAAACATATTGTACGGTAAAGGTCTTTATGGATAATTTTATTTGTGACAAAGTAAGTAACATTGAGGATTTTACGAAGAATTTGGTATTTATTTTTATCTTTATGTAGGGATTGGATATGAAAGGATTTTGATGGTTTAGTACCATCCATTATATATATATTCAGGTTAATTCTATTCATTTTCAAATTTTAGTAACATAAATAATTTTTATTTTTTATTTTCAATTCTGTCATGGTAGGGACAATTAGCAAATTTGTTGTTAGGTAGAAAATGGCCTGATGGGCATGACGAAGAATAGTATAACAATTCATTTATAAAAATTATCTTCCCTTCCTTAGTTTTTTTTTTAAACTTCTTTATTGAGATAAGCTCGAATGCGGGTGGTTTTTGTTTGTTGTTTTGTGTTTGTGGTTTTTGGGGGCGGGGTGGCCGAATAGGCTAAAGCGTGTGTAACAGCACCGCTAGTTGCCTGGCAACCGGATAACAGAAATTTGAGATGATATAAAAAGTATGAGTTCGCGTCCCGGTACCGGAGGGGATTTTAAATTTCCCCGCCCTCATCCCCCGGCCCGGGAAAATCCCGTATAGCCTAAAAGGCGAGGTAGGGAAGAACAAAAAAAAAAAAAAAGCTCGAATGCGTAAGTTCAAATAGGCATTACAGACTTGACAGTTGACTTAACAGTAGGACAGGACGTCATAGGTTTACGACGAAGGATAAAAGTAATTTGGTGGGATTTATTGGAATTTATATTAATTCTCCAATTTTGACACCATTCTTCAAAACTTATGATGTGTGCTTGAAGAGTTTGGGATCCAATTCATCGGCATAGGTGTTGATGGCAGTGTTGGGATCAGGGATAACTAAATGAGACAGTTCGACGATAGTCCCTGGAAGCTATTTAAGTCTGTGTTGATGAAACTGAGCCTATTATTGAATGAATAGGCCTCCTTTCCTTTTGTTTCTAACAGAGAGTGCGGAAGGTCGGTTTAAGCAGGTATTAGCTTCTGAAATTAATAATTCTGTTGAGGTCTCTCGACCAGACAAGTTACAATTTCGAATCTGGAACACATAAAATAAAATAAAAATGTTTATTGTTTTCACTTCATATTTAATTTTTATATTTATTTCAATTACAGTAAATTTTGTTTTTTCTAATATATTAAACAGGTTTTTTTGCAGAACTTTCATTTTTATCCAGGAGATCTTTTAGCCATAAAAATATCTTCACTTTAATTTTAGCAACTACTAACAAATCCGAAAAAAATTGTTTAATATATATTTAAGTTCCTTCATGTCTCACATGACATTTTGGGATTAGTTAAAGCCGTTAAACTTTGACAAGATAGCTACAAGTGTTATCTTGTAGTCGAGCAAACTCGGGCACCGTTTCATTTCCTGAGTCCTATATCCAGAGAGGGCTTAATTGTATTACATTTTAAGCTCCCAGTTACATCCTTATTATCCTGCGATAAGACAATAAGAGAGACTAATGTTATCGGATAATACTAAGCGTTCCTTTGTTAGCTTATCAAGCAATGCTATCTGTTTTTGTTATCATTAGGTTTTTTATTAACAACCCCTAGTGTCCTACCTTAATGCTATCTCTCTTATCTGGCCTAATGTTAGTGGCTTGGCGGCAATTCTTGTAAGGTACTCTGTAAGTTTTTGTTGCACGTAGAAGAAAGTTGCTTAGAAATTAGATTTTCTTAAAAGAGTCAGAAGTAACTAGCTCATAGGATAATATATTATATTTAATCTTAAAATGTATTCTTCTTATTTACATTTATTATTTTAATGTTAATAATGTATATTTTAAACGATTTAATATTTATATCTTGTATTATTTATATTATTTCAATAATTTTTAATGAACAAATATTTTATTGAAAAAAAAAATACTTTTTGCCAGAATTAAGGGCATTGAGTATTTTGGATGAATGAAACACAAACATACCATATATACAATAAAAGAAAAACAAGATTATAACAAAAGTAAAGAAAAGAAAACTTGGAATAACATAATAAATCAAACGTGAGACAACATTAAATAAAAAAAAACACATTCATACTTATTTACAATATTTACAGTCAGCCGAGGGAGCTCCGAGTCGGGCCTTTTCTCCCACGTGTGGATGAAAAGGCAAGACTCCAAGAGATCCCAGCGCTTCTATCTCAGCCGCATCACAAGGATGGGAATCCAGTGGAGACTAAGAGAGGGCACTAAAGCCACATACGATCATGACTTGAGTGGAGAAGCTGGCCATCGCCAGGACTCCAATGACGTCTTTACAAAAGATCTCGAGGCCACTGCCGCTTCAACCTTCGAGGAGGATTGTAGGGATGACTGGAACTGGATAAGGATTGTGCTAAGAGATTAGGATGATGGATTAGGTTCTGATGAAAATTAGAAAATCTGAATGGAATAACGTCAAGGACATAAGGGATGTTAAGGTCATGATGTAAGGTTTTGTTCGTAACATATAAGTCAATAAGGAGCATTGACTATTATATGGAGGACTTTAGACTGGAAAGATTGGATGCGTTTAATGTTAGAAAATTTATTTGTCCCCCATAGTTGAAGTCCGTAGGTCCAGATGGGTTTCAGTATGGTCTTGTATATTAATAGTTTGTTTTCAATTGAGAGGTTAGAATTTCTGTTAAGTAGTCTGTATAATTGGCCAAGTCGTCGGTTAAGTTCTTGTCTATTAAGTCTGATATGTGGATTCCATGTTAGTCTTTTGTCTAAAAGGAATCCAAGATACCGAACTGTGTCTGAGATGGAAAGAGGTACTGAGTTGAAAAGGATATGTGGACAGGATCTCCGTCGGAGGGTAAAGGACATGCTTGCATTTGGATTCATTGATCTTGATGCGCCAATTGTTGCACCATTGCTCTATTAGGGAGATTTGTCTTTGAAGGTTTAAGGATGCTGTTTCTGGTTCTGGATGGAAAGATACGATAGCGGTATCGTCAGCAAATGTTGCTAGAAGGGTATTAGCATGGGTTGGAATGTCAGCTGTGAAAAGGATGTACTGGGAGAACTGGGTCCAAGACACTGCCTTGTGGAATACCAGCCTCAACATTCCAATAATGGCTTAACCATTAACTTAAAGAGACCAAACACAATCCTAATTTTAAAATATTGGACTGTTTCCCGAACAAACTTGTTAGTGACATAGATTGTTCCGAAAGCAGTCCTAATCCGGGTTGTCGCTCCCGTCAAGGTCGATGGCGCATGAATTACTCCCTCCTCCTAAGATATTTTATTGCTCTCCTTTTCTTAATGACAGTATTAAGCTGAATTATAATAGGAATAATCATAGGTGATATACAATTACATTTTCAGTGGTTTGTTCTATGCCCTCTTCTTGTCTCCTGGTTAGAAAATTTTGTTTTTACAAATTCATAACCTCATCGAAATGTGTCCTCTAATAAATTCAAAACCAGTCAAAATGTGCCCCCTCAAAAATTTTGGGCATTGATGCAAGTTGCGGCATGAAACCTCCTTCTCGGCACTCCTAGTCCTAATTTTTATTTTTACAACTATTGGTGTGTTTATACCATTAAACAAAAAAGATTCATCCCCTCATTTTTCTTTCTTATCACAGCAACCTAATTATTTTTTAAGCGTGGCATTATCAATTGCTGCTGTAACTTTATTCACATTAGTATCAATAACCTTTTTAGTTTAAGCAAAAATAGCCCGGGTGGTCTATTGTTTGATTGTAAATATAAATAAAATTTTGATTATTTTATGTATCTACTTTTAGTATTATTATTTTTCTGTATTTTCTTTTTATTTTTATTTATTGTAAATGGAGTGTGAATGAGCTCTTTGAACACTATTATAAAAAAAAGAAAGATTATTTTGCATAATAGGCATACTTTTTGTAACCCTGCGTGGGTTTCGATTTGTTTTCTTTTTGGTATGTTTATAAATAAATTACATAATGTTCTTGCTTTGCTGTGCAGGTACATTATTCGTGCGAGCGGAAGAAGTGCTCATCGTCCTCCTGGTGCTCGTCCTCTGGGTAGGAGCCATCATCCTCTTCTTCAACCGCTGGGGGAAAATAAGGATGTTGGAGCCTTACCAACCCAAATTTCACCAAGAGCACAGGCCATCTTGTCCTATGGCAGATTTGACATCAGTCAATCAAGTAATTTTTACCTACGAAACTATTCTAGTACAAGAATCGTTCTTTATCACTAATTTTTTTTACAGGTTGTAATAACAAAAAAAAGAACATTGAAGAACAAGTTTTCTAATACCTAATTTCTAGTCAAATCAAAAGAAATGACAAAGGCACACACATACTTATATATAACCTCTCGATAAATATAATAACCTCCTCGTTCAGTCTTATTAGGCGAAGGCAAACATTTTTTGGAAATTAAATTATAATAATTTTAAGTAAACCTATTTTAGTCGCGTGTAAATAAAGTAAAGCAAAAAGTGTGCAAAATCACTAAACTATTAGTCAGATATTATATTAAATGAAGTTATACAGCAAGAATTTGATGTTTCATTAAATTATTATTTGCTATATTATTATTTTTATGTTATACTTCTTTTGTTATCATGTTATTTATTTTTTTAAATTTTGTTCTGTAATTTACTAGTATTTTATTTTATTTTATACGTAATAAGTGCTTATTAAACTTCATATAAAATTTTAATTTAATATATCAAATTATATATAAAATATATTATATATATTTAATATATAAATTATATATAGCATATAAAATTTAATTTATTTCTTAACCTGTTTTATTACATAGTATACTATGTAATATTTGAATTTTATTTCCTTAAATATTTCTCTAATACAGTTGCTTTATTCATAGACTAAAATTAATTATTTTAAGACGTTTTGTAATGAGGAATCTAAAATTTATGAAAGAATTTTCTTGTTTTGTTTTTTTTCGTTTTGTTCTGTTCTCTTTTATATCATATACATTCCTTAACATCATATTTCCTTATTACCATTGTATATAGATAATTTTTCTAGACAGAAATATGTATCTTATAAAAAAAAATTAAAAATTATTACAGTTAATTAAAAAAATACTACAATATTTTGCCTATAAAAAATCTTGTTGATTATATATAATTTAACATTTTGGGTTTTATTAGACATTTTGAAATTATATATAATAAAACAACATCTTTAAAAGCTATATAATATACAGTAAATAGGCATTTATTGCTAATAATAATGTCCTTAAAATCATTATGAAACCATATTTCTTTTTATTATATCATTATTTATTAAATATCTTAGCTCATTCATTTATCCCCCTAAAAAACAGTTTTCTTGAAAATTACATATATCAAATAAATTTAAAAAGTTATTTTAATTGAAATTATGAATGTTTTTTTTAGGAAAACATTAGTTTAATTAAAGTTTTGACAAGAGTAATTGTAACAACTCATTGCTCAGAGCACAATTAAATATTATGCCCGTCGATATGTATATGCCTAAATTTAATATACAAATCAATGATTTTAGCAGACCTCAATCGAACTGAACACGCAAACATTAAAATAGCTGAAAATCGGAAAACTATTTTCGATTACAATGCATATTACAACTTTTTATTAAAAAAAAAAAACTTTAAAGTTATAAATCTCGAATTTATTTTATTTTTATTTTGTCCATGAATTAATATATTCAATACATCAATACAAAATAAATTCTGTGTTTTCCTTTATTTTCTAAGTTATCAAAATATTACTATGTTTTAGATATTAAAAAAAAAAGTTGTTCTAGTACAGTTGTCTTCCTAGTTAATGGCCAAATTAGGAACTGTTATGTTCAAAACTAATGGGCCATCCATATCTGAAGATGGTTGGAGGGTACAGTTTGGAGAAGCCCTTGCAGACTGGCGCACTCCAGGTAAAGGGATTATCAATCATGGAGCGGGTTTGATGGTTATCGCAAGAAACCTCAAGCGGCCCTTTAATCCACTTACAATAACTGGAATCCCTACCTCGAGGTAGTGGAACTGCTTATAATAACAGAGATATTGTTTTCATTAATCAATTTAATTAAACGAAATATAGGTCTCGTCAGTACCATTGTATGCTACTTATTTGTAAATAATAAGTAAAACGTTAAGATAAATATTTAAAAAGATAATAGTAGACATAAAGAACTAAAAAAAAGGTTATACAAACTAATTTCCATTTTTCCTCATAAAGAAAGTTTTTTGTAAGAAGGAATATTAGTTTTTTGTTTTCCTAAGCAAGTCGCATTGTTTGTTGAATAGAAAGCAATAAATAAAAAATATTTAACTTAGGTACTTCATAGTAAACTGGACAAAATGTATTTCAAATGCAAGTATAGTTTGTCTTTGTTCTTATTTCTTTTCCACTTTTTGTGCCTCGATTCATAAATCACATGTTTTTCGAACCTGTGCTACAGCTATTCATGTTCTACAGTAATACTTTTAGAGATAATTTTATAATATTTCTTTCATAATACATGGTTATGTTTTATCATTTTGGGGGGCTTCAGCCCGAAACCCTACCTCCCCCTAGATTCGCTGTTGGACAGCAGTTCTCCAGTTCCTGACCCTTAAGATCGTCCAGGCTTCAGAATGAAGTTTTCATTTTTTTTTTGTTCCGATTTAAAGTAAATCTACTGTTTCCCAGAGAATCCCCATTCTTTCGTGTGAATCAGTCGAGAGCAGTGCCGGCCTTACCATCGGCCCCTCAGGCAATGACGTAATATTTTTCTCCCCCCAAAAAAATAATTTATATCTTAAGCTGTTTAATATTATACAGTATATGAATTTTTTCCAACTGGCGGAGGCTCTTGGAGGAGGCCCAGTCTCGGTAACGGGATGTCGTGCCATACATGATCATGATGATATAAATTTTTTGCATTCAACATTTCTCTGATACAGTTGCTTTATTCATAGGATAAAATTAATTATTTTAAGACGTTTCGTAATGAGGAATCGACTCTCGATTCTCGATTCATCTGCTCATCTATAGTTATAAGTAATACATGAAAATGAAAATAAACCATTATTAAACAGTACATTGGTAATCAGTGTCTTACTGGGGTAGGAATTGGATTAGGAGGGTTCTTAATGTAGGAGAGGACATGTTAAATTTTAAAAGGGATAAAATTCCAGAAAGTGACAGATCAGGAAACTAAGGAATTTTGGAATGAAGCGGATTTGTGAAAATGAGAGTAAAGCACTAACGGATCCAGGATTTAATTTTGGGAGGGCTTTAGCCCGAAAGGTTTTTTTTTCATAAAAATAACGATAATTACTTTGGAAAAAAAGAAAGAAACTAACTACCTGTACGAAATGGTGTTTAAGTGATTCCTAAAGCACTTTTAATATCAATCACACGAACAATAACACTTTAAGAGATACTTTTTTAATATTTTTTTCGATAAAACATTGTTATATTTTACCATTCTAGCGGGGAGTAAACCCCCCCCCGTAGATCCGGCCGTGGTGTAAAGGTCAGAAGGTCAAGATCCAGCGGTAAAGACGTTGATTGGAATAAATTGTAAGCTTAGGAAGGGCAATGATTCTTAATTGAGCATGTATTTGTGTACACAGATTCTTTTCCACAGCATGTATATACAATATTATCAAACCATGAATTAATAACCACGGTTTATTTCCAATGACGTTAGGCACTTTATGCGTTGTCATCCCCACTTTAGAAATACTCCAGCCCTGACAGGATCAATAAAAGTATAGATATGTGTAATTAAAACGGAATGGTGTGAGGCCGGGGGAGAGATTAGGCGGGAGATGAGGGAGAAATGACCAGCATCGACCATGTGATTTAGTGGCGCTGCCCTAGCTAACCCCACGCCACTCACTCCTAAATCCAGCTAATACTCACCATCTCTGACTTCCTGAAATTTATCAGCCATCGGATCGGACATTGAAATAATAGATATTTGCTCAAGATCTCTCATCACATTAAAGTCAATTGTATTGAGAAGTATTCTGTGGTGATTTTAAAAAAACAACTAACATTACATATATAAAATTAATGAAGAGAAGGATGGTTGGAGTGGTCATTCAGAAATAAAAATGCAAACATAAATAATAATATTTATTTTAACATTTGCCGACGTTTCGACATGAAATTCAGGCCTTCATCAGGACTAAGAAAATCCCCCCCTCCCTTACTACAATATCTCCACTCTATTCCAACAATATCTTTTAACAGGTTGGTTTTCTATATTTTTTAGTCTTCTCCTTTTTTTTCCTCCTTCCTTTTTCTGTTTTTCCATATTTCCATCTCTACTTTGTATATATTGATACATTTGCTCATTTATTTGTTACTTTATTTTAACTCTTTACTCTATTATACGTTGTCAGTACATTTTGATAGACTTTACAATGTCTTAATTTTCTATCTAACTATTCTATTTACAATATCTTAATTTTACTATTTATTTTTATTTCTTATATAACTTCATATTCCTTTAAAATTTAATCCTAAGAGTAATTTAATCCTTTTCTCTGTTTTACATTTTATTACCATTTTAGTACTTTTTTTTTTTAGTAGAGAAAAGGATTAAATTATTCTTAGGATTAAATTATTCTAAAGTAATATGAAGTTATATAAGAAATAAAAATGAATAGTAAAATTAAGATATTGTAAATAGAATAGTTAGATAGAAAATTAAGATATTGTAAATTCTATCAAAATGTCACCTCATTTTTATTATGTTTACTTCATTATTCCACACTTTGTAACGGTTATTATTATTTATTTCTAGGTTCTTGTTATTGTCATTATTCTACCAACTTCATTTTACTTTAATTTCCTGAACCTGAACTTCATGTCGAAACGTCGGCAAATGTTAAAATAGATATTATTATTTATTTTTCCCATTTTATTGCTGACTGATCACCCAACCATTCTTCTCTTCATTATTCACGACAGTCAACCATTAACCCACAATTATATAAACTTAAATTTCACATCGACATGAGTATTGCAATTCGAAAAATTGAAATCCCTGATTTGAAATTCTTCAAGATCACAAGATTTCTATAGTGCTTATGTCCACTATAGATATATTATATTCTACACAAGTTGGTTACGACTCTGGTTAAAAGTTAAACCTGTACCACTAACAACCCATGAAGGGTCATGGGTACAGTACTATTGCAGGGATGTGAGGGGCCAATATCACGCTCAACCGCCAGGTTTTTCCCTATAATTAATTATTTTATTAAGAGTACCCACTTTATAGAGGCTGGGTTTGCCCCAGGAGGGTCTCTCTACCCCAGGATCGACCCGCGGCTGATGATAATTTACTAGTCATCAGCCGGATTCGAACCTGGGATCCTGAGCTCTAGAAGTCAGTGTTCACTTACTGAGCTACCCCGCTCCCCTTACTATTCTGGTAGTGCTTATATATTTTCTATGTTCTCCTTTTTTCTTTTTTTTTTTTTTTTACTCACTTTACCATATTGAATGTTTTAGAAGTATCCGCTGTTTACCGCTCCGCTGAATGGAAATTGAGAAAAATGGATTTGGTTTAATATTCCATTTATCAGTTCAACTTCAAAAACGTTTAGGCTTTTAACTTACTGATACAGTTTTGGGGTAAATTGTAGGTGTTTACCTTTCCGTTGAATGGAATCTCAAAAAGTGATGTGTTTGGGGCCATATTTTACTAAAATGTACCCGGTCTGGACAGCAAGACTGTAAATCACAGATCTACTCGATAAGGACTATCGATTAAAGGAAATGGTAGCTAACGTTCGTCCGTTGAATAAAAGTGTCATTAGAACCTTTTACAGTGAATAGATATTTGGACATCAGGAGAGTTTAATTTCATGTTAGTTTTATACAAATTATCTTCACAGGATTTAAATGTTTACGCACTCGGGTCCCTCTTCAATTGGGGCCCTTTTGATATTATTTTAACAACTTAAGCCCCCGCTTTGAGTTGCCATAAAAGTGAAAATTGAATGCTGAGGATGGTAGCAGATCCAGTATTTAATTTTGGAGATTTTTTTTTCGGTAATTAATCTGGAAGGAAAAAATACCCTTATAAAACTATGTTTAAGTAATCCTTGAAGCCATAAAAAGAAGTTATTACAGGAACATTTATGTTTTTAGAGATACATTTCTTATATTTTTTTTCTTGGCACGTGCCTCCAGATGCTGTATATACATTATAATTTAAATGGTGAATATATTGTGATTGTTGAAATACTTATATTAAGTACAAACCAAAAAAAAATTTTAAAACATTTTTTTTTTGTTTTGGGAGAAGGCATCAGCTCAAGATAGCTCTTTCCCGTCCCTTCTCGTGGAGCATAAGGGGTTTTCGGGCTGAAGCCCCCTCTCTCCCGATTCTCCCTCTAAAAGATGGTAAAATATTACCATGTCTTATAAAAAAAATATTAAAAATTATCTCTAAAAGTATTCTTGTTCGTGTAATTACATTTAATAGGACTTCAGGAAGCACTTAAATACCATCATGTGTGGATAGTAAGTTATTTTATTTGTCTTTCAAAGTAATTATTGTTATATTTAAAAAAAAAAAAAAAAAAAAAGCTTTCGGGTTAAATCCTTTTCCCCAAAACGATATCTTGGTTCTTCTAGTGCCGTGGATACGCTGGTTGCTGAGGATGAACTACAAGTTATCCTCAATAAATCATAAAACATATTTAAAATATAAAAGACGAACGAACTTAAATTACATATATACATATGAATATATGATATGCATATATGTATATATATTACATAAATGAGATAATTGAAATGATATTCTTAAGATTTTTAATCTTTAAAAAAATCTACTTAAATTGATGTGGTATGTGAAAGTCATGTGATGCTTCGCAACAGATTTTTAATTTTTTCTTTTTCTTTTTGATAGATAGTTGATGTTTTTGTTTTATAGTTATCTAGTTTTCTATTTTCCGCTTAATTTATTAATGATAAATTAATAATTATTGTTGATTTTAAACTTTTAGTAGCTGAAGTTTCTAATA